TCTAAAGAGTCTGACATATACTCATTTGGAGTCGTAATGTTTGAAGTGTCGAGTGGGATGATGGCTTATAAGGTAAGGCCCTTAGAAGATAGCAATGAACTGTTTCTGATCGACATAGTCCGAAGCTATTATGACGATCATGGACTCGTTGACGGACTTGACAAGTTAAAAGATCCCACTATCAAAGATCGGACTGATATGAGGTCTTTTCATAAATTTAACGAAATTGCACATGAGTGCATTAACATGGACATAAAGAAACGCCCCACGATGGATAGGATCATCAAGGCGATTGAGGAAGCGTTGGATTTCCAAGTAAGTCTTTTTGTTTGATATTTTTAAGGAAACATATTTGCATATAATATATTATAAATTATTCCATGCATATTTTAATCTTGACTATAATCTTTTTTTATTATTATTATAACAATACAGTCAACCAAAACACTTATCTTTCCTCCATAAACACATTCTGGAAACAGATTTTCAGGTAAAATTAATTTCCAATTTGTTTATGAACATCTGAGAGAGACTCTAGCCTGGATCCATGAATCAGAAAGAACCCAAAAGGTTTGTCATGGATTAGGCAATGTAAAGATATCGGAAAGTGAAAGTGAGTCATTATTTTGATGTTGAGAGCACCAGTCCTTGAATTGTTATGAGGGCACTACGATCTCTTGGAGCAATATTTGATTAAATCAATGTTGGGGATCCATTAATTAAGATCACATCCAATGTGCATAATGCAGCAGTAACATTTTTTTTTTAATCTTAAAAAGCAGTATATATGTAATGATAAAAATGACTAAAATTTGCTTTTCAAAAAAGTCTGTATAATTTGTATTTATGTTAAATCATAAATGTATATTAAAAAAAGTAAAAAAAAAATATCTAAATAAAAAAAATAAAAAACTGATATTTTAAAATAAAATAGAAAACCTTTAAAAAACTTTAAAAAAAAATTGGATATTAAAACTAGAAAAAATAAAGTACGCAAAACAAAAAAATGTAAGAAAAATGAAAAAAAAAAAAAAAAAAGACCTAGTATGTTAAATATTTTTCAAACCGTACTAAATTGCTAAATATTTTTCTCAATAACTTCACCGTGAAAAACTTAACAAAAAAAAATTACTATATTTACTTTTTTTCCGTGAAATTAATAGTGAGCGTTAGGTTGTTGACGAAGATAGCTAGCTATTCGATTTTGTAAATTCTAAAACATTCATTGTAATCAATATTTTTTATCATTTACCATTATAGCTTAATAAATATAGTTAATCAATATAAAACAAATCACATTACCCAACATATTACAAAAGGAGGTTACGCCCTAACTATTTGTAGTAAAACACACTTACACATGATGAACGAAACAGCAAGTATCTTGAGATACTACCACTAAGTTCACTTAGAGATGCGTGCAGATGTCTGGCATCTCCGAAGGAATCAACTCAGTGGAATATTACGATGACTTTTGGGAGCCACTTCTGCCACAGGGTTACCAAGAAATCGTTGCGAGGGCGGTTCCACCGTTGGATTTTGACTCTAAAAAGCAACTCTACTTTTGCTTATCGGACTCGCCTATTTTCCTCGATGATGGCTACCTGGTAAATCGATCATCCTTGTGATACCCTATTTTTGCTTCTTCCTTTTTAAATATGTATATATAACCTCTTCCATCTTTGTGCGTGACTGTTGTAATAAAGAAGACTTCTCAAAATTCTAACTCATTGGCCATTGGAAATTTTTAATACCATGCAACATAAGGGATTTTTTTCGATATAATTGTTAAAAAAACACTTATAGTAACTATGATTTGGTCTCACATAATCCCAATATAAACAGAGCTTCCAACTAGATATGGAGAGTGGGAAAAAGTGTTATATGTTGGGCGCAAAGCAGCTATCAATTGAATGGCAAGATAACCCAAACTACTGGGAATGGGGACATACACTTAAATCAAGGTCTCTCTTGTCCTTTTAGTGCCATTTTCTATAGAATAACAAACATACAATACATGTTATAATGTTACAAGTTATAACGTGTTTGGCATGCATTGCTCCCTTGTCCAAAATAGCTTTAACAAGTTACACATGGTCCCATCTCCTCTGTATTATTGGAGTATAATCTAGAAGAACATATGCTTTCATTCGTGTAGGTTTCCACAAGTTTGTATACTTAAAGATGTATGTTGGCTTGCTATCCATGGCAAAATAGCATCTATGATGTTGTCGGGATACACTACATATGTAGCATACCTTGTCTTTCGAACTACTAGCAATTCACGAGGACTTTCTGTGCCCGCTAAAACAACGGTGAATTTTCATGGGGTAAAAATCGAGACCGAAAATGTGTATCTTCAAAGACCAGAGGCTAGGGAAATATGGCAAGAAAATGATAGGTTTCCTCATAGGAGAAAGGATGGGTGGATGGAGATCAAATTGGGAGAATTTATTAATTACAATGAAGAAGATGCTGGTGAGGTTGAGATGGCTTTTGACGAGGTTAAGCATTTAAACTGGAAGCGTGGTCTTATCGTGGAGGGCATTGAGCTTCGACCTAAATCTACATCTACTGATCAACATTCACCATTTGTAAATCACACATACACACACAAACAGAGGGAGAACGAGATGATCAACGAAGTAGCCAGTCGATCGGAATTGCCAAAACCTCGTCAGCCATTGGAATTGCAAGAACGTCATCAGCCAGGCATACTTTCACGAAGTTTTCTACAAAAAATATTATGGAAGTGTACGAAAACTAACAAAATAAGAAATTGATGAGACTTGTGTTTAACACGATGTCCTTAAAACAAATTTGTCCGCTATCAGATGCTTGTTTCTCACGATACAACAGTTGGAAGGAGTTTTTCTAGACCAGCCAATCTAGCAAAGCCTCCAACGAATTAAGAAAACAAAAAAGAAGAAGTAGAAGATGTATGGTTTCTGTAACATTTGTCTCTCAATCTCACATAGAGTGCAATATGTATACTAAGACAAATCTATAACCGACATGTTGTCATAAACTATGTAACAGAAAAAACTGATGACTGTCGTTAACCATTAAATCATAACCGACAATATGTGATGAATCTTATGTTTTATTCAAGTTTGGTAATGAGAAATATAAAAAAAAATCAGTTATAAAAAAGGAATGTTTGCTTAAAAGCCCCTGAACTGGTCGACCAGTGACATTTTGTGGCCATATGGAGGACACCCGTATGCAGTTTTAGTGAACCCAACCCAATTTGGTTTGCATTTGCACCCCTCAATGCAGACAAGAGACATAATTTAATCGATATGTCTTACATGCCTTGAAATACTTTCTACTTATAAACATATTTCCTTTTCCTTTTTGTCCCTATGTTGCATGGCTAAAAACTCACTTAACCTCTTTTCACAATTCACCCGACAACCTCATTTTAATGATTAATTTATCATTCATTCTAAGTCCCTTTTGGATGTGTGATAAAAATATATATATATATATATATATATATATATATATATATATATATATATATATATATAACTTCTTAATAATTTTAATAATGTGTAGGGTTCGAAGTTCGTGTTCAAAGATAGAAATAAACCATTTTTCAAAATTAGTTAAACCAACTTTAAGAACAATCTCCTGAATGAATGAAAATTGATAAGACATTTTCAAACTACCTAGAGAAAATCCATTTGAACCGTACATAAGATATGTTGAAGTCCTTAATGTTTTGTCTTTTATGTAAACAATCAATGACTCTCACATAATTATCCATGATCTAGTAAAGTTGTAATTGATGTGTTTGTTATAGTCATATATAACGGACACGTGTCTGGTTCTACAAGAGCTCATAGGAATTAAGCCCCCTTTAATTCTTTTTAAAAAGACCTCAATTTTCTCTCACATAAGTGATTCTAACAAATCACTAAAAACCAACTCTTCATATTGCACCCATTTCTTTGACTTCTGGAGCTTTGTATAATTGCATTTTTTTCTCAAGAATGAGTTGCAATTCTTTGTTGACTTGTTCGTCGTCTTGTTCATTTCTTTCGGGAACCGAGTCGTCACTAGGGTTGTAAGATTATACTTACTGAGCATCACGAAACCAGAAAGCCTCCGGACGAGAAGATAGGAGTTGGGTTTCTGAAAAAACTTTGAGAATATTGCATAAATGGATTATCACCTGTATTTTCCCCTAAAAGACTAAATACGTTGTAAGATTGTTACATCGTGTAATAATGTGGATAGTTTTGGTTTTGTTGCTAGTTTTGGTCTTGTAGATAGTTTGAATTTTAAAATATTGGAAATGAACATGGAATAATTTTACTTGAACCGTCTTGTACGGATTTATGTCTTTGGCTATAACCGACTTGTTTAGCTTTGCCTCAAAAATTCATTGAATTGAGTGATAGAATGAATTGCAATGACTAACTACTTTGGATATCTATATGTAACGACTGAAAAATTCCAACCAATTTAAACTTTTCAAAAACAACCCGATTTCATTAAATTATTACAAAAAGGTTTCCAATACAATTTATTTAGATTATTCCCAAAATCACATCACAACATAAACATGAGGAGCGGTACGATCATGCCTTCGCCTTGCCACGGTCTCCTGAAGAACTTGAAAGATATTAAACCACAACTGTAAGCCCGAAAGCTTAGTGAGATATCCCCAAAATACCAACCACATATACCATAAACGCATAACAGGCCATATCATATCCGAACACAAAACAACCATGCACATCGGGTCTACTGTGTGACTGGTCCGCCGCACCGGCCCACAGTCCACCTGGTCCACCCTCCGAGTCTAGCCATATACATCGAGTCTGCAGTGTGATTGGTCCGCCGCCACCGGGCCTTCAATCCACCTGGTCCACTCTCTGAGTCTACAATATGACTGGTCCGCCCGCACCGGGCCTTCAGTCGGCCTGGTCCACTCTCCAAGCCTCGGCACGTCTGGTCCGCCCTCTTGGGGCCTACAGCCTATCCGGACCGCTCGCTGGGCCTTCGGGACAACCGGTCCACCCTGGGTATCTTGGCCTACAGCACAAAGCAGGACCCGCCTCAACCCAACTCCAGTCCAAACAACCATGTGCACATAAACATACAATCATATAACAATTCACAGTCAACAAACCGATCAAACAGACCACATAGCATATCATCATCCTAACCAAGATTCCGACCTAAGCGGTCACTAGCATAGCATCACCCTATATCTCAGGATATCGACCTCAACCAGGTCTCTAACATATACCATCCTAACTACCAGGATGCAAACATATCAAAGCAGTAACATAACAACAAATACCCAGATCTCAATCTGATAAAGGGCCGGCCTTGGTGCCTTAGACCCTGTTGGTATAGTGAGGATAACTCACCTCGAAATTGCCGACTGAACAGATAACCCAAGCTGCTCCAATCACTGATACGATCTCCACCACTGGCCAACCACCAAAACACTGAACTCAAAATAATATCCAATAATTACCAAAATGCCCCCGGAAGTCAACTGGTCAACCTTGGCTGACTCTACTCGCCGAGTCAACCCGATGACTCGCCGAGTCCCCATGCTCAGAACTTTCCCCAATCCGCGACTCAACTCACCGAGTCCAACAACTCTGAGTCCTTGCACACTCGACTCACCGAGTCATCCCTTGACTCACTGATTCATAGCTCAACCTGAAGAAAGGATAGGACCTCACAACCAGACTCGCCGAGTCCAAGAACAGACTCGCCGAGTCCAAGGCTATCTTCAACCTACTCGCCGAGTTGTTCTTCCAACTTGCCGAGTTCTAGACCATCTTCAAGCAACTCGCCGAGTACACCCTTGGCAATTGCCGAGTGCCTCTAGATCTCATTCCAAACAGAACCTTCCAGACCATGCAATTAATCCAAAAAGTAGATCTAGCCTCCTACAACCCATCCATCACGTAAAGTGGCGAACTTTACGTGAATCCAAAGAGATCTAGGCATTTTACACTTTAGGGTTTGGTTTGGGACAAGATAGCTTCACCAATCACTTATCAACAAAGAATTTATGCATTTTTGGATCATCACTACTCCAGATCTGAGGTAGCATCCTCAGATCCGTCTTCCAATCCCGAAATAACTCATAAAATACTCCAAAACCTCCAAAACAACCACCATTGATGACAATAAGGGAAAAAGGGCTCAAGACAGAGGATTCTTACCCCAAAGATGAGCCTAAAGTGACGTAGACTTCAGATCCACAAGCCCTCTTGGTGCTATCCTCTAATTCCTCCAACTTCTCTTCACAAATTCCTTCTTCCAAGCTTCAATCCTCTCAATAATGGAGTTTCTCACGATTAGGGTTTTCTCTGGAACACTCAAGGAAAATAGAGGCTGAAGATAAGGCATAACATCCTTTAAATAGGGGGCAAACCCTGAAGATTAGGGTTTTTTTCACCCAGCACCAACTCACCGAGTCCAGCCGCCGACTCGCCGAGTTGGCCACTTAACACGCGACCAGAATCGCAACTCTACTCGGCGAGTCCACCCATGGACTCGCCGAGTTGCCCTTATACATTTTCACTTTGAACCCTAAACTTGCACTCCTGAACTCAGGATGTTACACTATATATAAAAAGTTACATAGAAAACAAAAAAAATTCACGGGTCGCGTTCATGTAAATAGAGAAACACATGACACACAGTAGACAAAATTAACCTTTGGCTCTAAAAGTAGCTCACATGCATTATTAGAGATAAAGGGTAATATATTTTCGATTTGTACACATTTGGTCACTGAGTTTTTTTCATCCACATTTACCCCTTCAACTTGTTAAACTATACATATTCAGTCATTATGTAACACCCCATTTATTAAATTAATTAATTAATTAATTAATTAATGTATAGTAGCCCTAAAATCAATAATTATATATAGTAAGGTGTTGATCTCGAGGAGCTAATTGTCATAATTTTAGAGATTGGGGTTAAAAGTGTAAGTTTCGGATTGGTTTCGTAAATAATTATGAAGGCATGAACTGCTTGGTAAATTATTGGGACTTAATTTAAAGAGATTTTGGAGGCTTAGGGGGTTGAATGGTAACATATGGAGCTGAATTGTAAAGATTTCAGAGGACGGGGGCTATTTGGTAAATTAATGGACTTAATTTAAAGGGAATTTAGTGGGCAGGGGTTAAAAAGGAAAAAATATGGATTTATTTTGAAAGAAATGGGGGAAGGAGGGACCATTTTGGTCATTATGGAAACAAGTTGTGGGGATCGGGGTATTTAATCCCGTCACCCCCGTCCCAACCATAACCCTAATCCATGTTACAGTCATCACCTCCCCCTTATGCCTCCCACAACGGGCCGCCACCCTATTCTCACTTGCTTTTCCGTCCACTGAGCCACCATTGTGCCTTTCCGTCGTTGCTAAAGACGGAGACCATCATGTGATGTCGTCGTTCAGCCGGAAACGAAGGGAAGCAGATTGTAGCCGCCATCTCCGGCCAATAGAGCGCCTGTCACCGCCGTGTCGCTGCTGTTGCCACCCCTCCGTGTCTTCTTCTTCTTATTCTGCCTACTGTTGTTGTAGCTCCGCCATCGAAACACCGCCTTAGTGAGGTGATCGCCACCACAGTCGCATCTTCTCTCCGCTGCCGCCTGTTTTTGGTGAAGACAAGGTCTTCGGTGGTTCGTGTGTGTCCCATATGTGCGTGTGTCGACTTGTTGATGGGTAAAAGATCAAGAGGAACCTTCGCCACCACCGTAAGGTGGTGGCTGTCATCGCAAAACCACCGCCCGC